TTTGGCTCAACTGCATATTATCATGTGACAGAGTCAAAATTGGATCCAAGGGCAAAGAAGGCTATTTTTATGGGGATTACTCCTGGAGTCAAAAGATATCGTTTATGGTGTCCTATGACAAAGAAAGTAATATTCAGCAGGGATGTTACTTTTGATGAATCTGCTATGATAAATAAGGTAACAAATGAAGATACTAAACAAGATGATGGTGCTTCTAAGCAGGTAGAGTTTGAGGGAAAATTTATTTTTCCTACACAAGAAGCAAAGGAGGAAACAAATGAAGATTGTCCTCTGGAAGAAGAGCCAGTTGGAAGGGAGGTTCCAACTCAAGAACCTCAACAACAACTTGAATCAATAGCAAACAGCAGGCCATAAAGGACAATGACAAAACATGTTCGTCTCATAGAGACAGTTGCTTGTGCAACCTCAATTGTAGCTGATGATGTTCCTACCACTTACAAAGGCGCAGTCCAAAGTTCAGAAGAAGATAAGTGGAGGATTGCCATGAATGATGAAATATGTCACACCTCATTTTTCTGCACCCGCGAGGGAGCAAGAGAGTTTTTCCAATTAAAGGACAATCGAGACGGGATTGGTTTATTNTACAGTCCCTTGGAGATTGGCCGATCTCCCGAAAGTCTGGACCCAATTGCCCAATTGCCCAATATTGGCCGAGGTCCGAGGAATTTACGAATATTGGTTGTGTCCGAGGAAGTAGGTAAAATTGGCCGAATCTTGTAAATTCTGGTATTCCTTTTATTGTTGTTTTATTGTCTTATTTATTATGTGGTGGCTGCCATATTTTTTGATATAGTAATTGTGACTCATTCATACTATATACATTTGGCTTCCGCAATAATATGTTTGTGCAAAGAGCTACTGAAAGGGTGTATGACATGACAAAACTTTGTGACTTTCATTTTTGGCAATGATAATCACGGTAACGAATAACCTTTTCTAGAATCCTATTATAGTCTCCATAAGTTATGATTCAATCTCAATATATATCAATCTCAATATCTATATATATATATATATATTGTATTAATGTTGTGTTGACTTAGTGTGAATAAAGATCTATTTTATCGTATCAGAGTCAAATTCATCCCAACTTATTGAATATCTAATGTTAAACTCCCATATTATATTGTTCACGCTTTACTTGCCGGGCATGGGCATGGGAAGGAGGGGGGGAGGGAAAGGTTGAGTTTCCCACACAGAAATTAGTCGACCAACCACATAACAACTGGGGCCTTTTCTAATTATACCAAGTCTTATAATGTAAAATGGCTAACTACTAAGGACTCGTTTGGTATGAGGTATAAGAAGGTATAGTGCTGGTATAAAAGTTTAATACCATCTTAATACTTTGCTTGGTTAGAAAACCAGGTATAAGTTATCCTAGGATTAAAATTAACATCGGGATAACTTACACCTTATAAAGGGTGGGATAATTAGCACTGGTATAACTTATACATTCTTTTTATAAGTTATGCAATTGTCATATTTAATACAATATACCAAACAATGGATAAAAAACAATTTCAGCATAACTAATCCCAGCATAACTTATCCCAACATAACTCATATCAGTATAACTTATCCCGACATTAGCCGTATTCAAACCAAACGACCCCTAAATGAACTAATTTTATTACCACTACACAACAACAACAACAAAGAATGACTAGCTAATACAAAAGGGCTAATTAAAAATAAATAGTTGGACCATCTCGAGTGTTCTGCTTTGATAGGGTTAAATAAAAAATAAAAGTTTATGTATTACAAAAATCACAATTTTTTTAATATACTTGTATCCAATTTCCAATCCAATAAGTTAAAATATTTATATAATATACATCCACTAAATATTCTTATCATTATGTAATCTCGTATTATAATTCTCGTATTATAGTTTGGGTATACAGTCGGAGCTAGAAACTTAAAATTTATGGGTTTAAAATTTTAGAAAAGACAACTTATTGTATTCTGAATAAATTATTTATATATATAAAGTAGATTTTTTAAATATAAATATAGGTCTACAAAAGTACGAAGAAACAAATGAAATGGAAGGAAAGAAAGACATACA